GAATTATCTAAGTGGTCGATATGTAAGCTGAGGATAGTCTGGTGGTCGATCAGAGTGCGTTTTTCGCAAAACTTTTTTAAATCGGATGTTTTAATTTGCGAAATCGTGATTCAGAGTGCTACCGTAATACATAACTTTTCTTAAAATTCTGAAATTTTAGTTTTTAAGAAAAACGAATTATCATAATATAAATAAACTGACTAGTAATCGGACCAAAAGGCTAAGTTTGACAAACATGAAAAGTCAGCGGAAATCATCGTGTGGCAAAACATGTAAATCCCACTACGGGAGATAGTAACGGCACTACGATCTTGAAAATCAAACTACGGGAGATAGTAACAACACTGCCATGCCAAATTCAAACTGTATAAACATAATTCCGAACTGTCCGCCAGCTCATACCTCCGGTCCGACTCTTTGACCTGAAAAACAAAAATAAACATGGGGCGTGAGCACTAAATCCACTGTGCTCCGTAGGAACTCATACTAAAGTAAACAGTGAAAATAATTGCAATATCATGATCCTGACATATACATAACCTGAACATGAAACCAGTATAATCATTTTCCGAACCATGTCAAGGTCTTTCAAGCCAAAGGTTACTACCAGGATCTGTTAATGTCCTAATGGGCATGTAAAAGTTGTTAGTAATTGAGATTCCTTAACTAAAAGGACTTGCAAAAAACCTGATTTACAATCAAAAGATGTAAACATTGTTTTTCCTTTTAATAAAGATAAAAGTTCATCTTTATTTGGTAAATATTTAGTATAAATTTGGGGGTAAGAGGTAACCGAGCTACCCGACTCGGGTCGTTCTCAAAGGAAGGCGCTTCGAAGCTTGGTTCACTACTCGATTGTTCAAAACACAAAAGGGGAAATAAATCCTAAAAATTCTAATCAATTGGTTTGAGATGATTTTAAGCTAGTTACGACTAATAAAAGCGAATAAACGAGCAATTAGGCAAGCAATCAAACTTAGAAACCCTAGCTTCTAAACCGGTGAACAAAAGCACAAGCAACAAATGCGAAAATAAGAGAAACGAACTCTATTTAGCATGCTTAAGAGCCAAAACCGAAATCCTACTACAAAATAACCGAGCCAAACGTCAAGTCACGATTTTTTTAGTAGCAATCCACACTTCAACTAATCCCAAGCATAGTAAACGAGTTCACAAAAGAAAAGGAAGTGAAAACAAACTAAACGAGCTACTAAAATCCCTAAAACGAGTAAGCCCCAATTACTTCTACTAATGAGTAGTAAAACGGTGCAAAAGTCGAGATTTTAAGTCTTGTAGATAAGTACTTATACCTCTAATGCGTGCTTGATCGAAATCGGAACAAAAAGTTACGAACTTGAATAAAAGAGAAATCACCTGAAAAAGTCGCCGGAATATATCATAAGCTTCATACATGCCATACTCTAGAGAGAAAACTTAAAACATAAGCTAAGATTCAAAAAAAAAAAAAAAAATGTTATAATGAGACTAGATGCTCAAAATACAAAGCATCACAATGTATTTATACCCCAACACCAACACATACTGATTTCACGCACATTAAATGAAACACTCACTAGATGAGTCGAACTCGCATGGTAGATCATCATATTCGCTGGATAATTTCGCTAGGAAGGCAGAACTCGAGGGGTAGCACGTACTCGCGCGCGCGGACGGGGAAAACTCGCGGGGTGCGCACGCGGAGCTCGCAGGACACGGAACGTAGAACTCATGGGGTGTGGCTTGTTTGCGGGCTAGGGCCTTGGATTCGCAGGCGCGAATTTCTTTCTTTGGACATGCGCGATGCGGAACTCGCGAGGTAGTAGGCGTTCGCGGGATAGGACCTTGGAATCGCAGGCTCGAATTTTGTTCTCTGGCCATGCACACGCCGAACTCGCGGGCTACGGCCTTTTCGCGGGATAGAGGCCGTTTTCGCGGGCTCGAATTTTGTACTCTGGCCATGCTTGAAGCTCGCGAAATTGTGTTCGCGCCCGCGAACTTTGAACTGGATGCTCAGATTTTGCCCTATGACTATGATTCAACTTTTAAAGCTCCAACTCGTCGCACTTCTCCGAACGCCTTGAAATTTCGATTCTCTTAATCAATACGTCGAATTCACCGACAAACCCCATAACTAAGCACTCGAGATGGTGCATCACGAAATGACTATTTCTTCCTTCCGAGCATATAAAACATCAAAACGCACAAGGAAGATAGAAAAATATACAAAAATGACTCAAGAACGCAAAGCTACTAATATCGAACAAAAATGGACCGGGACACACAAACCGAACCTAAAAATACTTGGCTTAAGCAAATATAAACGCACGAAAAATACACAAAAACATAACAAACAGTATAAATTATGACCATCGCCTATTATTTTCTTGTTTACCTCTCGGTAATCAATAACAATTCTGCATTTTGAAGTTCATCTCTAATCTACCAAAAATGTAACACCCCGCCTTCTACTTCTATGCTTTTAAAAATCAAAGTTAAATTTTTATTTTTTTTATTTTTTTTCGAAAAACTCTTAACTTTCATTTTTGAAAATACTATAACTGACTCGCGGGATGTTACTAAACTCTACTTTTCTTATCTCTTTCTCATGCAGACATAAACTCTATTTTTCTTATCTCTTTCTTATCTTTTTCAAGATTTTTTTTTTTGCAAGAACATTTATCAATTTCTTGCTTAATATCATTGATTATTTTAGCCGCTATTAGTTCTAAATCTTGTTTAGAATCTTTAAACTGTTGTTGCACAGATTTATATAAATCATCTATCTGTTTTTTGAGGATTTCTGTATCCCTTCTAACATCCGTCAGTGTATAACTTATTTATTTATTTATTTATTTATTTATTTATTTATTATTATTATTATTATTATTATTATTATTAGAGCGAAATGAGGTGTGTCAATAATTTCAAAAATGACACTTATCACAAGGGTAAGGCATGACTGCACTACCCCTCACCGGAAGCATGAAATTTTCCTTTGTTTAGAGCTGAAGAAGATTGCTTTAATGGAAAAACAAACAAGATCCAAGCATAAATGAATATATATACAACAAACACTAATAAATTAGTACGCTGACCGCTGAGTAGAGACGATTTCCAACATAGGTAATTTGTAAACAACTATATATATATATATATACAGTTTTGCTATGGAGCCATCGGATGGCTCGGCTTATGGAGCAATCCATACTTAATCACCAATAGTGCATTGACACGTGTCCTACAATAAATACAATTTAGACAGGTGTCACTATATTAAGTGATGGATGGCTCCATAAAAAAACAATCCGATGGCTCCATAGAATTTTTGTATATATATATATATATATATATATATATATATATATATATATATATTATTTTTTCATTAGATGCATTTTTCATATTAAAACACCACTTTAAATAACAACATAAATAAAAATATAATATTTTACTGTATAAAAATATGTATTTTCTTTTATAAGAATAATTATGATCTGCCAATATTTAAATCAGACCTACAACTAAATTTAATCACAACAATCCAAGGAAAAAAAAAAAGTGTTTTTCCAATTCTTCATTAATCTATATATATATATTAAAAGTCAACCTATTTACCAAAAACAGTAGCAAGAAAAGTCAACACACATTTAATGCATACTATATTTGGAAATTTTTTACTATATGCATTAAATGCTTGCATATTTACATTTACTATCCAAATATGATCTTCAAGATTTTTTTCCTTAAATAATTTATGCAATGATTTTACTGATATCCATTATAATTAATATTTGTCGAGTAATATTTTTTAACCTTTATTTAATTATATAACACTAATATTTTTTTTAAAAATTAATATTATTTATTATTTAAAAGATAATGATCACATCATTAAATGATTCTATTGATGGTTAGATAATAAACTTATAGTTATTCTTTAAAATTTCGACATGTTATCTATTTGTATATTATTTTCAACTATGATAGTGTTTTTATCACTTTTTTTTTTGTTATGTTTCAAAAATGAACTTATTGTAAAATATTTTTCTATTGCATAGTATGTTAAATAAATTATAAAGCCTTAGGATGAAAATTAGAAAAAATCTCTTGATTATGTAAGGGATTTATTTTTTGGCAATTGCTAAATTATTTTTTATTTTAAAAAAAAAGAATTATTATGAGAAAATTGAATTCTAAAAAACATGTGTGTGTATTTTGTAAATACTCAAAATTTTATTTTGAATTTCATTACATAAAGAAGACTACTTCTATAACTTTTATAAATAATAATAATTACATTACATGACTGTAAATTTTATAATAAAATAATAATTGTGTATTATATGGTGAACAATAATTAATAATTTTTTTATTTTTTCCTATATCAATGAATAAATATGTATTCTAAAATCATACAAATATTAGTATGACGTGTTAGCGGAATTATATATTAATTAACATGGTAATTTGTTGGCTTAAATAAACACCACTTATTAAAAGATGTGAAATATGGATGATCCAAGCCTATTGTTTTTCTGTCTAGACTTGCAAGTCCTATAGAAATAATTGATTTATTATATGTATCACGTGCATCGCACGGGGTATGCATTAATAAATGACCTTAAAATTGTGCACCCCGTGCATCACCCGTGTTCACATTTTGGCCTATTACA